TAATACACTAAATGTTGTTGTTAAAATTAATATTACATTCCTTTTGGATGCTCGGTATAGCCTCTAAACTTTTGTATCGAATTTAATCGTTAAATGTCATCTGGCAAGGTGTTGTAAAATAATGTACATGTATTATATGTGAATTTTTTGTAGTGAGGTGTTGATACTGTCACCTGATGAATATGATTACTATTGTACGAGTATTGTAGTTATAGACAACGGCGTTTGGTGAAAATATATTGCCACCCTTATGTAAGTCATTTTTGACAAAAACCACTGATTCATATCTGAAGAGACAAGGTAATGGTAAAATACCTAGATGAATAAAGGGAGGCTTACAAGAAGCACATGGGTGGGATTTACATATTATTATTATTACATTATTCGTACAATTCGTTTTTGGAATCTAAAAGTCTGGGAACTACAAGATGTATTTCCCCAGAATATTATGCCATAATCTCAGCCGGGAATGAACATTCGCGAAATATGCCCAACGAGCAGTGTGGAGGCTGACTGAATTTGAAAGGATTCTGAAAGCATAGCATAAAGAACTTAATTTAGTGTTCAATTCATTTAAATGGACGTTCCATTTAAGGTTTGACAGAATCGAAAGATCTAAAAATTTTGTTACCTTAAGATCAGTCAATGGCACACCGTTCATTTTCAATGAAGTGCAGAACTGTTTATTTGAAATGGAAAACTGCATTGAAACAGTTATTTTCATTTACTATTAATTTGTTATTACGGAATCAATTTGAAATCTCTGCTATTGTACTATTTACGATTTCGTTATTGCAAAGAATATTCGTATCATCCACAAAAAGAGAACTGTTCTTCCGTTTCTAATCCACGAGGGCATGTCGTTTACGTACAGTAGGAAGATAATAGGACCTAAAATCGATCCCTTCGGGTCTCCACATGCAATTGGCAAAGAATCAGAAAGATGTGTACATAATGTTCCATTATTCCAGTAAGGTATTTCTACTCACTAGGATCGTTGTTTAAGGTACGAACATAACCAATCTAGAGCAACACCACGAATTCCATACGAAGGTAATTTTGAGAGTAAAATGTGATGATCAATGACGTCAAAGGCTTTTGAAAGATCTAAAAATATTCCAATAAGTGCTTCGTTATGATCCATGGATGAGGCGACATCTTTAAGAAAAGAAAATCTGGCTATTTCCGTAGATTTTTATTTTTAAAACCCATGTTAGCAATTTGAAAACGCACAGTTTTTACTACGAAACGTTTCCATTCGTATGTAAAAAAGTCTTATATTTTTTAAAAAACCGACAAAAGAGAAATTGGTCTATAATAATGAATTTCATTTTTGTTGCCTTTTTTGAAAAGCGGCTTAATCTTAGCCGCTTTTAAAAAAATCTGGAAAAATTCCTGTGCATAAGGATACATTAAATATGAGTTAACGGGTATGTAATAGCGGGCGCGCAAGCCTTTCATCTAAACCGGCCGAATATTTATTTTTTAGTCTACCGCTTATTTTCAGAATTTCATGGGAAGAAGTTTCGGAAACAAACATCGTGCCTAAAATTTTTGGGGAAACGTCTGATGCTGAATATTGCGGCTGAAGACCCTTTCTGAGATCGGCAGCAATTCTCGAAAAGTATTGATTAAAGAGGCTAGCAACATTGTAAATACTTCAGTCTATCACTTATGTTAATGTCTATAACTTTGCGCTATGCTTATGTTTACGTTTGCATTGTGAATGGGCCTTTATACTTTTTTTTTATTTTTATTTCTTGGCGCGTGAGGGCCTGTGATTTTTTTTGGAAGTTCATTAAGGTAAATCGGTTTGTTATTCTAGTGAAGCTAGGAATTGTAGTAGATATGATTGTTTATCAAATAAAGACAAATTATTCGAAGCATTGTTATTTGAATTAGTGACTGCTCCCAAATTTGCCACGAATACTTTTGAGGGGCCAAGAATTAAATACTGTAGTAGCGATTGAGAACCGTTACCGTAAATTGCTATTCAATATTCAGTTCAATGCAATCCCCAATTCATCTGGGCTTCATTGTTGCTGGGCGGTGCCATATGACGCAGAGCAGGACCGGACGGAGCGGAATACTCGGGTCTTTATTTCTTGCCGCGCGAGGCCTTGACTTCACGATGGAATAACTGACGGTATTTCGCGTCTTTGTCGGCGATGCCGCATGACCGCCAGCGCTGCTCGATACGACATCCAGCGGCACTACCGAGAAAGACGGGAAATATCGTGAAATCTTCCACCGTCATTATTTGGGCCTGAACTTTACACCACCGGATTCATTCCAGTTATACCAGCGTGAATGTTACGCAGAACTTCAAGCGATGTCTTGTTTTTTTTTTATTTTTTTTATTTAACAACAAATCTAGGAAGTGCATCGGCTACAAAGTTTTCTTTTCTTGGTCGATATACCTGGTTATATATGTTTGGGGCAAGCTCAAGTCACCATCTAGAAATGATATAGTTTTTATTTTTATTACAATTTGTAATAAACAAAAATTTAATTGTTTTTTGATCCATAATGAGAAAAACATGACATCCAATAAGGATGTCGTTATTTATGTAGTTTTGTTAATCGCATATGCTTCTTTTTACAATGCAGAATGCCAATGATTCAATAGTTCTGATGCAGTTACAGTTCATGAGAAAAATGCTTCATGGGAAAAGAAGCCCTGATGGGTACCTGATGGATACTTAGCATTCTTATTGACATACGTTACAGAACATTTAATGTTAGATAATCAAATGTCTTGATTACTTCTTTATCCATTGGAAATGTTTTTCATTAGGCAAGTGATCTAATAGTTTGAGAGAACATAGTAATCCATTGACAATAAAAGGAAAACATTGCCATTATTATATTGATAGGACATACTCTTCATTTGATGCAATGAAACTATATTACTTGGAACTAGAATATATTCAATAACTGTTTCGGGTATTCTGGATCACGTTTTATTGTATAATCTTCAATTGTAAAATCTAAAATATTTATTGACCATTCGGCAATAGTATATTTTGTTTCATTAAGAGCAAGTTTTTTTATTTTCTAGTTGCCTCAAATAATTTGAGAATTATCTACACATTTGCTTTTTGTGATTATTATTATAATCATTATTATTATAATCATTATTATTATTATTATTATTATTATTATTATTATTATTATTATTATTATATTTTTGAACTTAAAACTAACTACTGCCAAGAAGGCTTCCTTCAATCATACCTTGACAAAGAAGGATCAGAATTTCTTTATTATTATATATTTTATTTTATTTGGAAAATCTAGATTTTATCACTAGATGTTTAATATTGGATATTAAATTAGTATGTAATGAAACAGGAAGTATAGTAGTTGTAGTTAAACAACAAATTGTACATGAAGATTGTGATCCACCAAACTGAAGTTTTACACCGGAATATCTGACAGACACCACAATCTAGTACTCATCCAGAACACAAAGCTGAGGAATAACTACAAACAAACTCATGTTTATGAACTTGTGTAAGTTCAAGAGATCAGGCTTGATTATAAACATTCTTTAAAGTTAATGAGGAATTCTTGAATAATTTCTGACAAATTTGGAAGCCCATTAATAAATGCAACATGAATCTAATCATCTCTCTTTCTGTCAGCACTAATGCTCTTGAAGTTGTAATCTTTATAAAGTTGCTTTAATACCAACACATACTCATTTAAAAATTTGCCTATGAGGTGATGGCATGTTGCAAAGTACGTCTTGCAAAAATTTTGACTATTTTACATTCAACAAAATTTCTATTGAAATATTATGCAGTGGTTTGCAGCAAACGATGTGTACCTCAACAGGCAATACTTAAATGCTGAAGTAACCAACAAATGCCCTCTATAACAATTTAATCATCTTCCCAATTTTCAGTACTGCATACGAGATCTGAACGGTTGCCTCATCAGGCTGAGCAATTTTCTCCTACATTTAGCACTGAAATGGTTATACAATATTTCTATAGCTCCTTTATATGTTTTAACTCCACTCAAACACATAGATTGAGGAACAATAGGCTTCATAAGCAAAGACAACTTTTCATCTTGCATTACTTCTTTTAGTGAAATTAAAAACTATTCAAATGTTCTAGACCATTCTTCAAATCAATGAAGTCTTATTTTTACATAGCAAGGCCAGCAGTCAGCCATTCTTCAACATTAGTGAGAGAATTGACTTCCACATTCAGTTTATCTGGTCTTGGTTATCTTTCCATTGTTTTTGTGTTGAATATATTATAATAAACCTTGAAACTAGGCTTTATTCAACACAAAACACTACATGCAATAGGGACAAACAATTGTATTTACCTAATTAACAATAATAAAATGCTTCACTATAGATATATATCCATCTTTCTTCTTACACCATTAACAACAAACAAGACTGTGCCTATTTGAATCATGGAAACCCAAATTTTTAAAAATCTGAAGTATAAGTACACTTGAGCACAGAGTCATAAGTATACTGAAATGCTCAGACAAGAAAATCAAGTCTCCCTCAGCAGTTGCAATGTTCATAATTTCCTTATGGAAAATTAACCGAGGTTTCTTCTATCCTAGACCACAGGGTGCTGATGCCCCATTGCAATGTGTTCCTCCTCCTTTGAAAACAAACTTAGAATACAAGAAAGTAGGTACAATCCCGTAGAAAAAATACACGTCAAATTCTATTAATATTTTTCTGGTAGTTTTCACCAATAAGAAAGAAGATGGTTTATACATTCTGCCATGCTACATCAAAGAAAACAATTCTGAACCTCAGAAACATTTTTTCTGTTGCCAACTTAGCTTTTTAACATCATAAGGGGGGTCTTCAGCCTAGATTAATTTGAGGGGGCCCTATTCTTACTTTCACTGATCCTGAATCCTTCAATGTCAACTTGGGCATTTAAAGATTCAGTTCCTACTTCAGCATATAATGCATAAAGGTACAAAGTTATGTTTCCAATTCAACATCTACTTACCCTATAAGAAGGTACATGTTGTGCCAATGGGAAATGAATCCTACCAGTGAAAAAATGAACGTTGTGGTCGCGGGATTCCTTAGAAAATAAAATATCTTGAATAAATGTAGTAACATAATTCTTCCCTATCCCAGGCCTTCCATGAAAACTTATAGCTAAAGCTTTTCCTCTTGGAGTATTAGGCATAAGATGTCCTTGCAATGCTGGGACAACAATTTCAGTCATAATATTCTGACCATAAACCTTTGTGACTAGAGCACTGTGAAGATCTAAATACAAAAGAAAAACTTATAATTTTCAAAAACTCTGATTTGAAAAACTATAATTCAATATTCATGCCAACTTACCCAAGAAGTGATTTCTGTTCCATTCTCGATCACAGCACCTCATATAATAACAATAGTTTTCCTTTACAGAATCACTCATTTTTTTAACACTATATGCCAACCATTCTGTGCCGAAAAGACATGATGCACCAGTCAACAGTTTGAAGACTATAGAACATGCCAATAGTAGCTTTAATGCTTGCATATCTTCACACTACTGAAAATAACAAAAGTATGCTAATTCTTTTTTCGTTTATCCAGGAATATTAATTTAGATAAGTTGATTAGATTTGATTAAACAATTCCAAATAAAAATTCATTAAATATTTTAAAAAACAATAAAACATTTACTTCGAAATTATTCTATATGAATTCTACTGCGAGTTAAAATACTTCCTTATAGTAAGTTCAGACAAATTGTAGTTTTAATACGAACGTTATAGCATTTTAGCCGTGCAAATACTCATGAATTTAGCCGTACATGTTCTACTATTCGAGGAATTAACTTATTGTCGCGTATGCGTTTACAAGGCACTTTACCTAATAACTTGAATGTCATGAAGGTAACCTTCGAAAGATAGCATCTACGGCACCTATATCAATATTTGATCTCAGTTACAATTTAACGTGCATGCGATCACTTTTAGGGATTTCAAAATATAACGCAAGGCACCTGACAACACCTAATCTTCAGACTTCACTTCGGATCTGTAACTTATGCCGGCATACTCGTTGCGTTCTCACGTACTTCAACGATCAAGGCTGGTCGAAGCACACCGGCTGCCGCTGCCGACTGAGCTGTGCTGCGCTGCGTCACTCCTGGCCACGACCACCTTTTCAGCATCCCGCGTTCTCAGGGAACCCCGCCACCGGCGTATGTTCACACCCACGTGCACGTGCCCACGTGTTCCGTGGGATCGGACAGTGGGTCATGTCCCATTTGCAGCCAATCACGTGGTGGTAGAATGAGTTCGGGCATTGATGAATATATAATGTTGAATGAAATGTGTTGTTCCATAATCAGTGAATGGATTGATATTGCGTAGATGAATGGGCATAGTCATATATTCATAGGCATGGTGTTGTTCTATGGCCCAGGCTCTGATAGTTGTTTTATATATATCGATGTTTTTGGGGAAACGGAGTTTTCTCTTGCCCAATTTAAATTTAGTTAGTTGTGACATCATCAGCGGTTCCAATCAGGAGCTTCTTAATGACTTTAACTTCAGATATCGATTCTCTCAATTGGATAACTGTTCACAGCTTTTATCATAAATCATTATGTTTAAATCGGACATTAAATGTTATATTTATTTTATTAAAATATATAGGTAATTTGATATTTATATACGACACTATTACAAACTACAGAAGAACAACGTGTTTCCGGCTTTCGGTATCTGATTGAGAGCAGTACTGTAAGTGCGAAATAAACGAAATACTAAATTTAATATTACAGTCCAATTTAAACAGAGTGACACAATGATGGAAGTAAAGGGAACATTGCCATCCAATCAGGAGCTCTAATACCAAAAATTCAAGCTGTAACAGAGCTCCCAATTGGATGACCAATCTATTCATCCATGGTGATTACTGTTTCGAACTGTGGTCATGGAAGTAACTGTTGAAGCATCAAGGTAGCATCTCTTTGCCTCCACCAAAGAAATTCTTTGAAAGAATACGCTCTGGCGTGATCACATGTGCGCAATGGTAATGACAGCTTGGTCCGACAAGTCGATCACGTAGGTAAAATATTTCATACAGCGTGGTTCGCATTGACAATTTGAATACGCATGCCAATGTGAAATATGGAAACATAAGTAACGTAATCTGTGAAAAATTGCGATAATGATCCTATTATGCCAATTAAGATCTATATATATTAAGTTGAGGTACTGTACATTATCATAGTAACATAACTTATTGAGAAAATGGAAAAGAAACAATATATTGTGATTGGAGAAGCTCCGGAATCTGACAGTGAAGAGGAAGTGAATGTCCCAGCAGTAAGTACATTTTCTGTTTTAATCAGGAAAGGCCTTTCTTGACAATTTTTTGGGGGCGGGAAGTGCGAAGAATTACTCTAGCAAAAAGTGTTATTTAAGTCTTTCCCATTGTATTTTCAGACTAACTCTTCACATGGAAAGCGTACAAGTGACCCTGCAAATCCTCAAGGTATTGTTATAGCTGGAGAAGCACCAGAATCCGATGATGAAGGTAAGAACTATTGAAAGAATGGCTTGTATTACTTATTACTCATTTCATTACTGAAAACCCTTTTAATTTGCCATTATTTTCAGACAAGGTTAGTGTGAGTAGCATTAGTAGTGCTACTAGTATCTCCTCCATTGCTTCTTTTTCTTCAAATATAAAAAGAAGTACCATTCCTGACAAGACCAAGAAACAAGAGAATGTGAAGTACAGTTCCTTACTGCACAGGAAATTACGTGAGTGTTTTGCATTTGAATTAATTGAGTTCATAATGATTGTCAAACAATGGTCATCGTTGAATCAATAATGAGAGGTAATTTTGAAAAGAGATTTGATTGTTTAATAGATATGGTGTATTATTGTAATTGTTGCAGGTGAACGCAATGTGTCTCTTCACAGGAATGTTGTTGAATTCATTCATCATAATGTTGGTTTGGCTTCTCGGGATCTGGGTGCAGCTAATCAGCAGCTTCTGAAATCACAGCTTCAGCTACAAGAAGTAGCATTATCACTACATACATTGCATACAAACCTTAGTCAGCTGCAAAACAAATTGGCTTCTGCTACTTCTACCACTTTTCTCTCTCGCATTAATATCAGACAATAAGCAAAGTGATTTAGTTATTGAAAAAGTTTTTATATAGATGAAAAATGTAATGTCTCATTTCATTAACACTGGAAAATAGAGAAAATAGAAAATCAATGAGTGGTAGTCAACACCATAATTATGGAACACTAATAGCCGTGGCGACAAAGAAATAACTGGCCCTCAGGTTAGGTTCTGCTAACATGTCTACAATTGCCTACAATGAATCCGTTACCCTACATTGCATGTGATATGTGATATGTTTGGCCCAAGAAAAATGAATTGTTTGAGAGTATATGCATGCATGAATTCATATATTGGTATGTACGAATTCATAGCCGGGAGCACATGGGCCTGAGTTACGGAAACAAAAAAAAATCTTCAATTGATGCAATATCTTCAAATGGTGAATTCTTCAAATAATATAACAATTTTCATACACACTTTAATATTCGTGCAAAATATTTTCTTTGTCATCATTTATGTCCTTAGGTTTCCTGTACGTACTAGTGATTTCTTGGACCTGAATTTTGATAACCCAAAAATACTAAAATTAGGACATCTAAAAAGTACAAAATTCTGGTAAACTGACTTAAAAATTTCAACAAAAATGTTAATTTTTCCTGTTGAAGACAACTGTCAGCCCATTTTAATATCAAATAAAGAAAAACTCGGAAATGTAATACCTCTGAATGAAATGGAAAATTACGACTAAAACTGCGACCATCTGCACATTCTAGTGGACCGTATTGTCTTCTGTAGATATATTTTCTCCCTGTTTACCTCCCCTTTTTTTTTAGGTCTCCGGTAGTATACTATACGCGCAAGTTTTCTTGATATTCCATAGTGAGGGGAGCGGGGAGAGGAGGGCTCTGGCTACGTCACGGCTTAAAAGGCCGTACCACCTGTGGGCATGAACTTAAACTCGCCAAAGCGTGCCACGAGAAATTCTACGATTGTTTTGAAAGTACGAGGTGATTGTTGCCAGGATTGTAATTGGTACGTGCCGTTCCGAGTCGAACCTAAGTATCTCAACGTGCCGTGCTATTCCGCGCTTGATGAGGACTAGGGAGCCCGTGTATCAATAAAACTTGCGCGAGTAATACAAGCGTTGCAGTGACGCGCCGTTAAGAAATGCAGGTATTACTCGCGCAACTTTCTTGAACGATGACCTTACTTCCCTCTTTGGCACAAAGAAACAAATAAAGGCAAAAGCTCGCAGCGAGCACTGATGACAACATTCCAAACACCTTCACTGGTGCGAAATAGAAACAATTTTCTTTTGAAGACAACTTCTATCGGTTATTTTCTCCAAATCTAAAGAAGTGTCCGAAGCAGGTACGGATCTATCACAGGAGATACCTGGAACTCCTGATAAAGTTAGAACTCAAATTATTGAGAACGTTACGAAGGCGTGACTAATTCTCCAGAGATTGGTATTACTTCATAAAACCTAGTGGTCGATTTCGTAACTAATACCCCCACTATCCGATTTCTTCAATCCATCGTTCAAGAAAAGTTGCGCGAGTAATATTATCCGCGCACTTTTTTTGAGCCCTAGCATCGCTATTTGCGAGGGGAGTGGGGAGTTTGATTATTTTCACAAAGGGAATTTTATATCAAAGTGATTCGTTTTTCGAAGCAAAATTGTTTCTAATTCATGGGAGAGAACGTTCCTGGTTATCAGATTTTGTCTACAACGTTCGTTGATGAATTCTTAAATTGTCTAATGTCAAAGGAGTGAGGGAAGATATTCCGGGGCTCAAGAAAACTTGCGCGTATAATAGAATAACGATTTACAAAACCGCACGATCGCTTTGGCCGTTCCGCATAAAGGCCGATTCACAATGCAAACGTAAATATAAGCATAGCGCATAGAAATAAACATTAACATAAGTGATAGACAAGTATTCACACTGTCTAACGTACACGTAATCAAAATAAGTTTTTCTATTGGGTGAGAGATTCTGTTTTACAATTCATTGGTTGTGAGAATCGATTTGAATGTGTCGACTGTGTCCATGGCCCATACGGCGTTCTATCGACTTCTCTCCAATTTAGATATATTCTATTCTATTAATCAATTCTCGATTTTGAGTTACCGTTCTGTGATTAGTTTATTTATGTCTAACTTAAGCATAAACACAGAAGCTTGCAAGCTTTCAAGTTAACGTTTGAAGTGTTATGTTTATGCGAACGCATTGTCAATGTGTCCGCTTGTGGACGTAGTCCTAATTTTTATGTTAAAGCCATCATTATGTTTGTTTGCATTGTGGATGGGCCTTAATGCCTTTGACATACGAGCGTTGCGTTAACGCGCGTCACGTAACGCTGACGATACCTGTACACACGAGTCACGCGCGTCGTAGATTAATACAGTGAAATTATTTTAGCGTGGCCGCTGAATGTGCCGGAAGAGTCCATTTCTCAAACTTACCGGTTCAGGGGGGAGCGCGTCCCTTCCCAGACCTACTCCAGTTGTGTAAGCATTGGCCCTCACTATTCGTCACCGCGAGTGCAAGTTTTCATTTACGTTTCTTTACCAGAATAAAGCGGTTTGCGAAGTTGTGTAAAAGTTATTATTCGGATGCGATCATTGCAATGCATCTGGTTCAGAACGTCCTTCAGAGTCAGGCGCGTCAAGTTGCAAAAGGATATCAATTTATGAAGCGAGAAGGAAAAGAAGGTATTATAAATATCAAAACAGTTCTTCAGGGAACAGTTTCTGCTTCGCGTGTTTCGAAAAGATGCACTCGCAGAATTAAAAAGGGAATTAATTCTATTCAATCGGGAGAAATGTGTTTATTTTCAACTCCTAAAAAAGAGAGGAAGAGAAAAGACGTGGAATCTGCTCTCGACGGTTTTAATGCGAGTGTGATTTGCCGCAGAATGATTTAATCCACCATATCAAGAATTCGTTATTTTACCGAAAACGATAGTTAGGACAGTGATAGTGATAATAGCTATTATAGTGAGGAAACGGGTATCAGTGTCAGTGGAAAAGATATGTATGAGAGCAGAGCTGAACCATCATCCATATCTTATGGAAGCAGAGTCGTGAATTTGGTGTTACTCCACCACCGAGAGAAGCACACTTCAGCAAATTAATTTCCAAGAAAGTTTGCTAGCACGTGCGGTGCAGTAGGCTAATGTTTTTGGTATGGGCAGACGAGCCAGACGTGAGTGAGCGTCGTTTCTCCATCACGTTGAGCTTCTCCCGTTACTCGCGAATCCCAGCGGCCACCCTAGAAACATTTAGTCGTACTGGGTCTTAAGCGAAACTGTACAAAACTGCTCGTGGCGACGTGCGTTGTGCCCACTTCTCAAGCAACAACGTTGCTTGGTGCTTTTGGCGACAACATTGCCCTGTAAATTTACGATCAAATTTAACTTTAAATTAACAACTTGCTCACATGGCAATCGTGAATGTATGTATCATTCTTAACAAATGCTTAAGCACACAATAGTATAAATTTCCAATTAAATTTAACTTCAAATTAACAAATTTAGAAATATTTTTATACCTGCGTATGTGGCAATCATGGACGCATTATTCTAAACAAATATGTAGGTCCACTTAACACTATATTTCCAATCAAATTTAACTTGTCCACATAGCAAACAAGGTGTTATTCTAAGCGAATGTTTAAGTTCACACACTAAATTTTCAAATTTAACTTCGAAGTAAGGTGTTGAAATAAAAATAATGCTCCTTATATCTGCTTCAATGACTTGTAACAATGTAATAATTTTGTTATCTGACTACATTTAAAATTTCAACTAATATCAAGACGCGAACTGGTGCATGAGGTTCATTGGCTGAAGCCGGATAGGTTAAGCCATAGCTCACCCTTTTCTCAGTCAGCTGGCACCTCGCGGTGTTGCCTGCGTGGCAAGTACTTTACCCTGCGTGATCTACCACTCCACACAATGTCTTGTTCGAACAGGAGGATTGAATCGCGGGGTGGGCACCTAATCTATGTGGCCTTAGTCCGCATCCCCCGTCCAGTCCAAGAACACCTTCAGGCTGGAATCTCTATCCCGTCGGAACGTAGATACCCATCTCGGGAGCCTCCCCATTTTGAGCCTGGGTCAGGCCCCCTGCCAGCTCAGAGCTTCTAGCTGTCCTGGCTAGCATCGGATTCGAATCGAGCGCCACTCAAAATGCGACGGGACAAGTCCCTTCTCTTTATCCAGTGGCGGACCACTGCCACGTCGAATCCAAGTTCATCGGGGAGGGGGGAACCCGGGTTAAGGCTCGTCCCCACAGCCTCCACCTTGAAGCTATCGACATGAGTGGCACCGGCACCTGGGGGTCCATGCTCCCCGTCTGGACGTTTATTGATGGGTTTGAGATCCGCAGCCAGCTTCACAGAGGATGCTGGCTAACGAACCCCACACCCAATCCCGGCCAAAGGTCGGCGGCGAGCTTCTTCACTGCCTGCAACTTGAAGCTAACGACTTGAGTGTCGCCGAGAGACACAGGAGCGGGTGGACGTCTCCGCCTCCACATAGAGCCTCAGGTGTTTGTCTTCCGAGTGTAGAATGCGACCAGGTACCGAGATTGGTACACCGTGTACCAATCTCGGTACACGGTCCCCCTTCGAAGGTCCCGGCGTCGACTCTGCGCGCGCGACACGTACTGCCCGCCATAAGTACTTCACCCTCACACTAAGGCTGCCTTCAGTGGTGTCATTGAGAAGTGGCATAGCCACCACCGAACGCCACTGACCGGGAGAGAGGAAGGATTCATGAGTCACACCGCTGTGGGCTCCGGCGACCGAAAAGTGACAAGCAGGTAAGTAGGTTCAGTGACGCTACAGAGTGGTGTAGTATGAAGGCTGCCATTTAGAACCGCGTTCTGCTGGCGGTGGCACGGACGAGCTTCTGCGCTGCTGGTGGCAGAGGTTTGCCGCCAAGCACCACAGCAGCGCGACTACGCCGCTCGTGTGAATACCTTCATTTAAACCAATGCTTTGCCAACAGACACGCCACTCGGCAGCGCTGCTGAGTGGCACCGTGTGAAGGGGCCCTTATAGTTTGCTCGTCACATAGGCGATGCCGCAGTCTTTTGGAGCCAGTGGGAACTTGCCAGCACGTGCGGGTCCTCACCAGTCGTCGCTATCCCGCACCTGAGGTAAAATTACCTGCGGTTACTAAGAGAGAATACTAGCAATTTAATATTTTAACTCTGAAATACAGATCAGCATATTTATTCAGAAACAATAAATAGTGCAAAGAATCAATGAGAAACTGGTGCTCATATTCTACTGCAATGAGTCGTAAAGACCCATCGCATCCTAGTGTCACGCTCTATTAACATATTTCGGGGCGAAGAGCGCCGTTGACACAATTCGACACGCGCAGTTGCGTGTGCGCCACTAACTAACCCAGTATTCCCCAATGAGCGTCCGATCCCGAAACGCACCCTTCCATCTTTGTGTGTGACTGTAGGTGACTGACTACCGGAACTGTCACATTAAGAGGCGAGAGTAGCCCCCCAGAAATTCCTATGTGACAATAAATCACGAAGCTCCGTAGACGACTAGCCTATGGAAAGCTTCGCGCTAAGCCCGTGATAGGACGGGCCTTTTGCGAGAGGAGTGGGGAAAGGAATCGGGTGAGCGATCGGCGCTAGAAAAATTGGGAGATTTGGAGAAAGACTGTTGGAGAGGGCGGTCGACTATTAAAGAGAGTTCGTATTCAACGTTCTACGTATCTTTGCGAAGATCCGATTTCTCGCTGTGTACGTCGGAAGGCTGGAAGTTCTTCTTACAAATTTGAAGACTCCAGCGGTGCAATGAAGGTATCTTCATTAACCAAGTACATCGAATTTCTGCAAGCCGTGTACGCTCCTGATTCTTCGAAACTTCTTCTGCAATTGATGGTCGCCGCAAATCCCACCGAGTACAGATTGAGCGCCCGAGCAGTAAATCAGGCGGTGTCCAGCTCAATGTAGCGTGCGGCGACGCACGGAAGGCGAAGAGGAAACATTGAACGTTTGCCGGCCAATTCTCAGGACCAAATGCTATGGCGCCCTTTTTGATTGAGAGGACTCTACCTAGCCATTGGTTACATAGTGATATGGCGCAGTCA